TTGGGGAGGACTGCGAAGGTTGAGGTAGGGGGGAGGGGCACGACCTACGGAAGGGGCGGGACTTAGGGGAGGACGCGATCTGAGTGGATGAGGACCGGGGCGGAAGGGGTGGGGCCTGAGGGACAGAGGCGCCCAAGTCTGAGAGGGAAGGCGGGCCTTGGCGCGTGGAGGAGGGCACGCTTCACCCGGGGGAAGCTTGCTGTGCCCCTCATCTTCCCCCCGCAGCCTTCCCCACCCGCGCGGGCTCCATCACTGTAGGAAGCACCACCATTCTCACAGTCCTTCAGGCTCACGAATTGGGAGCCTTCGTCCCCTCCCCCACCTCAAAATCCAAGGTATTGCCAGGGCTTGTCGATGACGTCTTCGCAACGCCCCTCAAGTATGCTCCTCTTTTTCCCCTCGAGGTAGCCGGCTGGTGAATAGAGACTTGCATCTAGAGTCGGGAAGACCCGAGTTCAAATCTATCCTTAGATACCTCTGAGCTGTATGTCACTGGGCAAGTCACTGAACCTCTGACCCTCTTTCCTCATTCGTAAAATATGGGAACAGAATGAGATTTCTGTAAAGATCTTTGCAGACCTTACACCTCTATATGACACTGCCACTGTGGTGAAGGGGAAGGGAACAGGCATTTTTATTAAGTACCTACCACGTGCCAGGTACTGTGCTTAGCATTTTATAGCTATTCTCTCATGAGATGCAGGTCTCCTCACCTCATGCATTTCTGGATCGTTACAGCAGCCTGTTGGATGATCTCCTCGCCTCCACCAGCTGCCAAAGTGATGTCAAGGCAGGGTCGGACCATGGCAGCCCCTTTGCCCCTACTCAGTAAACTCCAGGAGCTCCCTGTCACCTCTAGGATCCAATATAAACTCTTCTACTTGGGACTCAAAGCCCTTCATTATCTCTGCTCCCACCCCTCCACCTTTACTCACTCCTTCCCCATGTACTCTCCAGCCAGTGACAGTGGCCTCCTGGCTGTTCATTGTGGAAGACCTTCCCATCTCCTGACTCTGGGTATATTTGCTGGCTGCCTGCTCCCCCCCCCCATGCCTGGAATGCTCCCCCTCCTCATTCTCTGTCTCCTGCCTTTCCTGGCTTCCTTCTATCTTTTACAGAACACTTTGCTCAGTCCTTTAATGTTATTACCTTTTCTGGGTTGGTTATCTTCAATTTATGCTGCGTATAGCATGGTTGTACATAGTTTACATAGCTTATTTGCATGAGTTCCTTGAGGTCAGGGACTAAAGTTTTTGCCTTCCGTTGTATCCCCAGGGCTTAGCTCATTGGCTAAAACAGAGCAAACATTTAATAAATGCTTACTATTGTCTGAAATCAAGAAAGACTGGGTTTTGGCTATGAGGGAGAAACAGAAAGGGGGAGAGGTGGGGTTGAACAAGGTAGTGGGTTGTCTAATGGAAGGGGGAGGAGGTGGGCCGAGTCTGTTGGGGTGGGAGTTGACTGGGAAGAGGGCATAGTAATATGGTCAGGGAAGGAAGGCAGAGGTGGGGCACAGCCTGAAGGCCTTGTGGCTTAACTTGGAAAAAAGGGATCATCTAGTCTTGGGAATAAAACTGGGGTAGGAGGGGGGAAGGGAGGAGGTGAATGAGGAAGAAAGGCCAGGCCTGAAGGAGGAGTGGATGTACCCTAGGAACTAGCTAGGAGGACCCAGCCTTGATACCAGATTTGGGGTTTGGGGGAGCTAGGGGCAGTTAGTGAGGCAGTAAGCGCAGTGTAGACTAATAAACAATTTTGACTAATGTGATTGGCTTGTAAAAGAATGAGTTCTGGTGAGGCAAGTTGGGATGGTCAGAGAATTATATGGGGGCTGGAGGAAGGGTGTTACTTAAGAGAGACGAGAAAAAGATGGCCAGAGAGCTGTGATTAAGGGAAAGAAATGGATTTTAAAATTAAGACTTTTTGGCAGTTGTGTCCCAAATTGAGATAAAAGGTCTGAAAGTGCAGATTCTGAGAAGAGTGTTAGGGAGTTGCCTGTAAGATAGGTAAGCTTCAGGGCTTCAGGGGAGGATACAGGGAGCGTATGAAGGGATATAGGGAATTATTTGAAATTAGTATAGAGGACCGTCTCCTAAGGAAGCATAAGGAATCTAGGAGAGGGGAGAGGCTAAGAGGCTCTGGGAGAAAGGCTGTAGGACAGATTAGGGAAAGAAATGTGAAGAACAACATCATCAGTATGCCGTGATTTAAGTAAGGGTTACAAAGCACTATCTAACCCTAACAGGAAGAAGGAGAATAAAGCAGAACTCTAGGCAAGAGGAGAAGGTATCAAAATGTGACTAAGGAGCACATCTGGCTAAACAAGGAAGGGAAAGAGTAATGTATTATGTTAGAAATAAGGCCTTAGAGAAATAAAGCCCTGTAGTTAAAAACGAAACTAATCTTGGAGTGAAGAATCGTTTATTACAATTCTAGAGCTGGGCAAAACCTCTTGGAAGAGATTGCCCTGATTACAGAAGTGAGAAAACATTTTATACTGTTAGAATGCCTCGACTCCTCTCAGCCAGGCCCGGATTGGTCCGTTCCTTTCCAGGTTACAATCTTATACATCCACCCATCTCATGCCCCCTTGACATGCCCCCCACTTCCCTCATCATCCAAAAGCCTTTGTTCTACTTAGGGCTAGTTAAAACCGGTTCTGCCCTCTAGAACTTTGGGGCCTTTCTCATTGGCTTGCCCTTTCAAGGTTTTGCAACCTTGTTAAAACAATGTAGCTTGTTATTGCCAAATTCTTTGCTGATGTTATAAGATGTCAAAGGTTATCTTAAATTGTGGGAGCATGATACTTTGTCCTTTACATATTATAATTATGTTGTTATATGTTATATTATTTTATATAGTAATATATATTAATGTGTCGACCTTAAAATTTGGTTAAAAGAAGCAAACAAGTTAGGTGATAAATATATATATATATACACACACACACATACATATATACATATGTATATATCATGAGAAAGGAATTTTCTTAATTGAATAGGTTGTAAATACAATAAGAGAAGGGTCAAAGTGTCAATTGAAGTTCCAGTCCCAGGATATCTGTGTTTCCCCTACATAGCATATGTCCATAAAATACCAAGATAAGAAAAGTCGCATTATTCAAGCAGTGTTCAGTCCCAGGCATCCTATCCTTAGTGGTTACAAACAGAAGAATGATCCTAGTCAGCCTCCTCCAATCTTGTAGTTGCTGACACAGGAAGGGGCATTCTGGGTTTACTCAGAGAGCAGAGCAAAGCATGTCTGTTATGTCACAGTGCTTCTTCTGGCTGATTAGTTCAGGCTTTGGCCTTTATTGGGATCAAATGATCTTACATGATTTTCAAGTGCAAGAGCTCATTTGATATAACGCTTTCACTTTTACAGAGAACCTTCTTTACAATAACTTCTGGAGATTGTTGTAAAGTGTTATTCCCATTCTGCAGATGAGAAAACTGAGCCTCAGAGAGGTTAAGTACTTGTCTACATTCACAGAGATAAGTGTGGAGCTAAGAAATGGACTAACACCTACTTGTGCCTGCCCTGTCCTTGCCGCTCTTAGATAAGCAGCTCTGCAGGGCACTCCCTGAGCGGGCCCAGGCTCCTCATCTTCACCTTGCCCGTTTTCCACACTGCTGCTACACAGGAATCCTTTTTCTGTCTCTCTTCCTCTCTCCCCAGGAACTGTGAACTGTGATCAATTTACACTGCTATTGCCTCTGTAAAGGCCATGCCAATGGAATGACCTATGTGACTTCCTGGATCATAGTTCTCTTCCCTGGCCTTCACTCTCTTCTCCGTGTTGTCTCCCCCATTAGAATAATAGAAACTCTTCATAGCCCCAAGAATTTAGCACAGTATTTGGCAAAGAGTAAATGCTCAAATGCTTTGTATTTATTCATTGATTAGAGGACATTGTGTGTTGTCTCAGCTGAATTGGTAGAATCCCAGATGACTCAGTGTGAATGTGTTAACAAGGAGTTAATTCCCAGAGATCTCGTCTGTACTTGCTGGTTTATCCTGATGCTTCCCTCCGTGCCTGAGGCATCCCTGCCTTGAACATAAATTTATTCAGAGTAGAGCAAAGGTTCGCAGCTTAGGCAACAGTTCAGTTATAATGTGCATTATCAAGCAGAGAAATACTCACTTAACTTTTGGCAGAGCTAAGGACATTAATTTTCCTAAAATTATCCCTTTGAGGAGGCTCCTCTCCAGATGGTCAAATGTGACTTCAAGAAATCTTCCGTTAGCTGAAGTAATAAAAGTCCTTTTCCTTCTTATTGTCTGATAGACAATAAGACAATAGACAATCTGGTTAAGGCATTGGAATAGATAGGCCTTAACTAAATTGAAGTATTCCCTGTCCTACATTTGATCACTGTCCTTAATCTATTTTCTGGAACCTTAGCATTCATTCTTAACCCTTTACATAGTTTCCTAAGAGAAAATGGCTAGGCTTTAGACTAGGATAATTAAAAATACTTTCTTAATGTTTCTAAAAGGGGTGGGGTAGTCTGCTTCTACATTCCTCATGGACACTTCTAGATTATTCCTGTGCTACCATTGCTCAGTCACCTCTTCTTCTCCTAGTTCCCACCATTCAAATATATAATTCTTACCTCCTGGTTCTCAGGTCATTCTCCCTCCTCTCTCAATGAGTTTTGTGTATGCCTCTCTATCTTTCTCTTCACCCTAACTCCTGCCCTCATACTAGGGGACTTCAATATGCATATTGATGTTCTTGTAAATACTCCAACTTCCCACTTCCCTAGTCTACTCAGTTTCCTTGTTTTACTCTTACATTCTACCTCAGTTATATGTAGAGATCCTCATATCCCTTAATCTTACCATTACCCAGGAATGTTCCTGTTATATGTTCATGAACTCTGAAATCTTTATATCATAATAATATATTATCATTCCCTCTGGCTCTGTGCTTTATGATTCTTAATCCTTCCATTCCTCAATACTTTCTCAGTAACCCTAGGCTATACTCTCCTACCTTCACAATCTTGACCTTCTTGGGGAGCCATACAACTCCATACTCTCATCCACTATTCAGTCCCTTGCCCCTTTGTCCTATTGGTAATCACATCTTGCCAAACTTGAAACCTAGATTACTGCCATCACCTGATTCTGTCATTCTTCTTTATGTGCTACTCAGTGGACCTAGAAGAGGTCATTAAACTGTGCTGATTGGGTCTCCTACAAATTTATATTATCTAGTCCCTTTGCATCTGGATCAAGTCCAAGCTCCTCTATATTCATGCTTTCTCTGCTTCCTGAACAGAACACCACCACCCAGTTCCCCATCCCTCTTTAGGAACTTGGTTTTTGATGTCACATAAGGACAGTTTATACTTTGTTTCCTGGAAATTTTGACATAGATGGAAACCGAAACTTGTCTGATTCTAGGAAATCAGCCCATTACTGGGCTGTTTGTGAATGTGTATTTGTATGTCTCTATGAAGGGCTCTGAACACCAAAGAGAGGATTCTATATTAGACCCCTGAGGTGACAGGTAACCTCTGGGGAGTACAGAAAAGAGATATGACATAGTCAGACCTGCATTTGGAACGATTACTTTGGTAGCTGAGTGTAGGATTGGCTGGAGTGAGAAGAGAAATGAGGCATGGAGAACAATCAGAAGATATTACAGTAGCCCGGGCATGAGGTGAAGAGGACGTGCACTAGGGCAGTAGGAATGTCAGAGGAGGGAATGTACATGGGAGATGTTGTAAAGTAGAATCAATAGGACTTGACAATAGTTTGGAGATGGGGAGGAAGAGATAGTGAGGAGGTGAGGATGACTATTAGGTTAAGAGCCTGGGTGATTGAAAGGATGGAGGTACCCTCAGCAGTAATAGGAAAGTTAGGAAGAGGGGAGGACTTTGGAGAAAAGAGAATGAGTTTAATTTTGGACATGTTGAGTGTATGATTTCTAAAAGATGTTCAGTTTAAGAAGTCCATCATGCAATTGGAGCTGTGAAGCTGGAGGTTAGGAGAGAGGTGAAGGCATGAGAATCATTGGAGTAGAGATGGCAATTGAATCCATGAGAGCTAATGAGGTCACCAAGAGAACTAACATAGAGGGAGAAGAGAAGAGAAGAGGGCCCAGGACTTGCCTTGAGGAATACCCAGTCAGCAGGCTTAGCCTGGAATGACAGGAAACAGTAGTGTCTCAACAATGTAGAGAGAAGAAAGTACCAAGGAGAGGAGAGTGCTCTAGATCTAGGCTGCAGACAGGTCAGGAGGACTGATGACTGAGAAAAGCATCAGATTTGACAGGAGATCATTGTAACTTTGGAAAAAACATTTTCAGTTGAATGATGAAATTGGAAGGCAGATTAGAAGAGTCAAGAAGGTAGTGAGAGGAGAGGAAGTGGAGGCACTGACTGTGGATGGAATTTAGCCACAAAAGGCAGGAGAACAATGAGATGATAGTTAGCAGGGATGGAATGTCTGTATTGCAATTATTAGAGATAAAGAATGTGAGGGATGGAAAGAAGAGGTATGACAGTGAGATCTGAAGTAAAAGCCACTAGGTTCTTTAGTCCTTATGCTATTTACAGACTTTAGCCAATTGCCTGATTTCCAGACTAATCTTTCCTTTCTTCTTCCTCTTCTTCCTTCTCCTCCGCTTCCTCTTTTTCTCCTCCTGTTGCTCCTCCTCCTCCTTTTCTCCTCTTCTTCCCTCTCTTCTTCCTCCTTTTTCATCTCTTCCTCTTTTTCCTCCTCTCTGCATCCTTCTCCTGCTCATATATTATGTTTTTTGTCTACACAACAACCCTGAGAAGTAGGTGTTAATATTCTCCCCATGGTATAAAGGAAGAAACTGAGGTAGACATGTAATTCATGCTTTCTCTTTTCCTCTTCCAGATGAAACATGGGACTATTACTTCCTGGTTCCTTTTGTGTGAGGGAGAGAAGAAGAAAAGAGAGGATGAGAGACAAACTGTTTCTCCTAGACTGCTAGACTGGTCAGTATCTACACTTTATCTTCTTATTTCCCCTTTGAATTATTTTGTCTTTTCATTCTTCTGGTATAAAACACTGTCCCTTGAAACACACTTGGGTTAAAGTATTTTATTTTCTGGTTTGAGTTGATGATGAGAAAACAGAGAAGTTTTTCCTTCTGGAGACACAAGACGTACTGAACCCATTCATCAGAAGGTGAGGTCTGGTGGAAGAGGCCCCTGAATCCATTTTGACTAGAGAAAAAGTCTAGGGATCATGTTTACCCTTTGGTCTAATAAGTCCATAAGGCACCTGCAGAGATAAAAGCCCAGGTGACATGAAGCCTAAGGAATTTAATATTGAAATGATTGGAACTTCCTGCTAGTTTACTTTTGAGGTCCTGGTGCTCCAGGTCACTGAGCCTGAAGGGCTTTGAAATGGCTAAAGCTGGGGGCCACTTTCAGGTTTCTCTTTGTGCCTGAAGGGTTTCTAGCATCAAACGATTTTCCCTGTCAGACCTGAGAAGAGAGGCTTTACCCAGGACCATCACTGTTATTTAACATGAGCAACCCTTTTACATGTGTGGGTGTATTAGAGGGGAAAGACATCATTCAAGCCGTTTGTTGTGTCGGAAATGAGAGTGCTCTCTCACTGGGACTAAGATTTAATTAGTACAAGGATCATCTGTATGTGGAAGTTCCCCTTATAAATGTGGGCTGGTATCTTCTCTGTAATTTATGGTTATAGAGAGTTGTCTAGGACACTGAGAAGTGAGATGAAATGTCCAGGGTCACAGAGCCACTATGGGTAGGACTTGAGCTCAGGTCTTCTTGGCTCCAAAGCAAACTCTCTATAATCCATGATGTCATGTGTACCCATACCTTTGTCTCTTCAAATACACATGGGAACTCATGTTCATATTTGATGTTTCTTACTTGTTTGATATGTAAAACATGTGGGGGCTCTGTATCTGACCTATATAAAGACACGATTCACAATATTACAGAAGGAAGTTCTATTTTGAAAAGGAGAAAAATAAAAGAGACCTTCAAAGGCATCGCCATCAGGCTAAAAGGTGTAGTGAAGGAAATGAAGATGGTTTAGCTTGGAGGAGAGAAGCCCAAAGGGACAGAATCAGTGTCTCCAATTAGCCGTTGGGGTGTCATGTGGAAAAGGGATTAGATTTTCCCTTATTGGTACCAGAAGTCTGAAATGGATATGATTCTCAATTGCATGTTGAACCCTCCCCTCCTGGCCTTCCCCTCGCCTAATGGAGGCACAGAGAATTCAGAGGAGCATCCTGTGATGTTTTAATTTTCAAGGGAAACACAGGGCTAACTCAATAGCTGTCAGATACCAGACGAACTACTGCCTAGAGACAGCTCACAGATTCAACATTAGATCATTTCATTGACATTTTGGAATGTTTGAAATGAATCTGTTCATTTGTGCTTTTGGCTAGGATAGTCAATTCTAGTTTACATCTCCATGATTTTGTGAACCTGAATTTTTGGCAGTTGTTGAGATAAAAGCAAGACTGAGCAAACATTACCTTGGAATGGGAAATGGGGTGAATGGGTATAGAGTCCAACTGGATTCCAAGATTTGAGAAGTTGTGCTGCGCCCAACAGGCACGTACATCCCATTGGTAACTGTGGCTATTTAAGAATAAAATAAAAATATTTTCTCCTTCCTATTTTTTTGTTTACTTTTTCAAATGGTACCTAAGTTGTTAGGACATAAATACTTGTTACAGTATTTCATAAACAGGAATCTTAGTTATTTCTTTTGTCCCTGGGCTGCTATGAAAAAATACTGAGACACTAAGGATTCTGTGAACTAAAAAAGTTTGGGAACTTCTGAGTTAGAAGTTCAAAAGAGTCATATTCACACTTGTCATGAAGCATATAACTACACTCACTTCATTTATTGGTTCAGAGAGAACTCTCTTTGCTTGGAGATTGTAAGGGCATAACTTACAAAGTCAGTTTATAGGACTAGGAATCTCAATACGTCAGACACCTTCTGGACAACAGTAGGGAGGAGATTCTGGGACCCCTGTCTAATACCCAACCAAAAGAAATAGGATTTACAGCTTAAGGGACCCTAGAGATCATCTAGCTCAGCCTGCTTATTTTACAGAGGAGGAAACTGAGGCTGAGGAAGGTTAAGTTATTTATCCAAGGTCACATAGGCAATAAAGGCATTTGAACTCAAGTCTTCTGACCACAAACTCAAAACTCTATTGCTCATACGTGAATATTTCTACTTCAAAGTATAATTGGGGGTCCTGAAATGAGGAACTATTCCACTACAACTTTTTTTTTTTTTGACAATTGGGGTTAAGTGACTTGCCTAGCGTCACACAGCTAGTAAGTGTCAAGTGTTTGGTCCGAGGCCGGATTTGAACTCAGGTCCTCCTGACTCCAGGGCCAGTGCTCTATCCACTGTGCCACCTAGCTACCCCTCCATTTCAACTTTTAAAAATCTTAAGAAGCACAGGGACACATTTACATTTTGTCATCTTTGAAGAGAGGCCAAGGAACTTGTCTTCCATGGTCATGAGAACATATTGAGAGTCAAGAGGTCTCAGTTTAAGTCCCATCTTCTGTGTGACTTTGGACAAATCACATAATATTAATAGCTAGAATTTATGTAGCACTTTGAGGTTTCCAAAGGGTTTTACTCATTTGATCCTCACACCAAACCTGTGAAATAGGTGCTATTATCACTCCCATTTTATGGATGAGAAACCTGAGTTGCAGAGAGGTCCAGTGACTTTCTTAGGGTCTTACAGCTCTCACGTGTCTGATATCAGATTGGACTCAGATCTTCTTGGGTTCTTGCCCCACCATTGTAAGAGTAGAGCACTATGTGTAAAATGAGGAAGTTAAATTCCATGACTGTCCAGGCTCCTTCTAGCTCTGAATGCTCTGAGCCATGAAAAGGAAGGGGGAAACTCAAGCTTTCTGCCTTCTAGACTATTTGCCTTAAAGAAAAGAAGCCTTTGCCTTAGGGGAGTGAAGCCTCATCTCACTAACACTGAGGAGCTGGATGCTTTTCATGTGAATTTTCTCTGGTGTTCTTTATCCTGTCTGGTGAGCATCAGCTTTCCTTTTTAATGCTTGGGTGAATTAGAAGCAGAAAACACACACACACACTCACACATTCACACACATATATAAGGAAGTTTCAGTGCCATGTCTTATTAGGTGGAACAAATATATTCTTTAACTTTTTTTGAGAAATGGAAGCACAATGCCCAATCCTGTTAACCCTAAGCCAATGAGCTTTTTTACACCTCGTAACTTGGACATCAATAGAGCACCAGCGACATCTAACACTGGGGCCACCCAGGAGGAAGGGTCACTCTCAGCAGCCTTCTTTGTTTTTAGGTCCTTTATCTCTCGTTCCATCTCTTTAGCTTTCTCATGAAACCCTTCCTCCAACAGCTGCTTTTGTTCCTAAAAGAAAACAAAAGAGCATCACCATTGCACATTGGTTAGTTCCCATTCCACCAAGAACCAGGCAGCTCTATGTGTTTCTTCTGCATAAGGTGTGAGCCTTAAGTAGACTAGAAGAGGGGAAATGGCACAGGAGATTTCTCTTCAAGGGACATTCCTGGGCAGTGAGAAAAGCCATCTAGAGGTCAGGCCTTCTCTGTAATGACTCATTACTCCCCACTGCTAGGGACAAGAGGCTGGACTTCTGGGCCAATGATGAAATGTGTAACAGCTGGGTTGGAATCATAGTCCTAAAAGGAGAAAGCTAGGTGGTACAGTGGTGGCTTTGGAGTCAGGAAGACCTGAGTTTGAATCCTGCCTCTGAAAACTCACTGGATGTGACTGCAGTTATGTTACTTAACTGATAATAGCACCTAACTCCTCAGATTGTTGTGAGGATAAAAATGAAATAATGTTTGCTTTGTAAACCTTAAAATGAAATGTAAAATGCTAGCTACTGTCTTCAGCATTATTCTCAATTCATAATGGAATGGCCCAGATGTACACATGTTTAAAAAAAAGGGGCAAAAAATTCTTTGTAGAGAGTGACTCAGGGTGGGCTCAAGTCAACTTCACAGTGGCTTGGCCCTCTGATCAACATGAAACAAATGTGAATCAGTGTCTTCTGTCTCTCTTACTAGCCTGGGTTGCCTCTGGCCAAATTCCAGGAATTTAGGCAGGACCTGTTCTATCCCATGTCCCTTGTAGAGGCTTATTGATAATGATTTTAAGGAAACCAGGCCAGCCACTGGATATGCTCTTCCTCCAGGACTCAGCAGTTGTGGGATCAGGTAGGAGGGTACAATTGACTCAATTTGGGATGCTTGGCATCAGCCTAGTAGCCCCGAACCCCAGGGGACTCTGCAATTAACTTGTAGTGTTCATGGTACTTAGGATTACAGATGACTCCACAGACAGCTTGGATTGTTGCAGGGTTTTTTGTTTTTTGGTTTTTTTGGCAAGGCAATTGGAGTTGTGACTTGCCCAGAGTCAGGCAGCTAGGAAGTGTTATGTATCTGAGGCCATATTTGAACTCAGGTCCTCCTGACTCCAAGGCTGGTGCTCTATCCACACTGCACCACCTAGCTGCCCCAGTTGTAGGGTTTTTGTTGACGACAAAGAGGCTTTGATGTGAATTCAGGGCTTCAGTCAGAAGCAGGTGGAGGGGAAACAGATCCAATCCAGTTCCCTTGGAGGCTTCCTTCTATGTGATATGGTGTTAGAAGTACTAATCATAGGACCTAAAAGGTTCAGGGCGTTTTGTGATTTTTAAGCCTTTTTTAAAAACAGATGTTATGGAAGCTTTTTCCAACCATATTATGTATAAAAGGCCAGGGATGTGGCTGGGTGCAGAACACAATGGCCTTATCCATTGCGGCTTACATTTGCTCCTGTGTCTTTCTTGGCCCCCTCTCATTTATATGAGGCAGCAGGGCTTTGTTGAGAGCATTAGAGTCAGCAAGACCTAGATTCAAGTCTGACCTCTGATACATCCTGGCTGTGTTACCCAGAACAAGTCATTTAACTCAGTGCCCCTAGGAATTCTGTAGGACAATCCCTATAGGGTTGTACTGATTGTACTGGTAGGGGAAATCTTCTCACTGTAGTTACTTCCACCAGTAAGATCACAGGCCCAGCTCACTCTCTCTTACATTTGCAGGAAGAACCAAGGATTTGGGGATCAGCACACTGTGGGGTGGGCCCTTGAACTTAGCCCTTCCTTTTCAGAAAGGGTATCCCTTAGCAGATGCTATCTATGACAAGTTTAGTAATACAAGTTAAGCCAGAACTCTCTGACCTCAGGACAGAGAGTATCATGGCATACATAAGGCCAGAGATTGTTGATCAGGAAATACAATTCAAAAAATAGACTTAACCCTGAATGTACAAGTTATTTGGGATGGGCCTGGATCTTTGTTGCAAAGAGCTTGGTCCCTGGGTTCTGGAATCTCTTTCTGGAGAGACAGGGTCCATTCCATTGAGGCTCAGAGAAATTCATGGATCTCCTATGGGAGAAAAACCACTGAGGGATGTTCTCTAAGTGATGATAGTATATTACGTTGTCTGCCTTGTATAAAAGGGATAGAGCAGAAAAGAGTCTGGGCATTAGCTGTTTGCTTTGAACTAATTGTCTCTTCTGATTGACTACAGAAACACAGACTTTGGTAGGGGCTTGTGAACTTTGAGTGTCATAGGGAGTAAACCTGTAGAAGAACTTGGACTTGGAATAGACTTGCCTGGGCAACTCATTGTGAGAGCTGTGGGGATGCTCGATGAGTGATACAAAAATCATGTGTGATCTGTACAACAATTCTGTGCTCTCAGTGAGACAGATGTGATTGACCCTATGTTATAGGTGAGAAAATTGAGAAGGAGGAAAGGGCTCAAACCTAGATTTTCTGATGAAAAGTCCAGGGTCCTTTGCTTTTCAACATGTTGATTCACAGGAAGGCAAATTTGCCTTCCCTGTCAGTCAGCCCTTCCTATTCCTGCCATGGTGGTAGGGTTGCTCTCTAAGCATAGCCACTGATCCCAATTTTTGTGTACCTTTAATTTATGATCCAGAATCTTTTCCTGTTCTTCCAGGATATGCATCTTATCTTCCTCCACCTTCTTCAGCAATTGGTTCATATTTTCTTCAAAACTTCTCTGCTGAGTTTCCATGTTTTGCTGCATTTCCATTTGTTGCTGTTCCAACAACTTCTTCTCCTGCTCAGCTACTTCTCTTCTGACCTTTTCAGCTGTTCAGTGGAATAGAAAGCATAATATTAAATCAGGTGAGGATAGTTTTCATCTCTTCTCAGTTAATCAACCACCATTTATTAGTGCTTACTAGGGGCCAGGCAGAGTACTAAGTACTTGAGAGACAAAAAAAAAAGAGGTTAAAAGCAATTCCTGCCTTCAAGGAGCTGTCATTTTAAGAGATGAACAACATCCAAATAGTTATTCAGATGCTAGATAGGTGGAGAGTTATTGGGAAGCAATATGAAAGAGGAAGGCAGCATTAAAACTTGGAGGGACAGGAAAGGTCTTTTAAAGAAGCCGGGATTTTAGCAGAGGTAGGAGGTATGAGGCAGAGCGTTAATGGCAGAGGGGACAGCTAGTGGAAAGGCCTGGAGATCAGAGATGGCTTGTGTCTGACAAACTGCAAGCAAGTCAGTGTTGCTGAAACATAGCATGCATGGAGGGCAGTAAGGTATAAGCAAGAGTAAATGTGGGAAAGGGCAAATTTATAACATAATGAATGTTAAATGGAGGGATTCATACATGATCTTGGAAGTAATAGGGAGTCATTGGAGGTCGTGAAACAGGAGGGTGACAATATTTTCTCTTGAATTCAGAACCCAAAGTATGAGAAAGAGTCTGGAAATTCCTACATTTCTTTCTTTCTTTTCTTTCTTTCTTTCTCTTTCTTTTCTTTCTTTCTTTCTTTCTTTCTTTCTTTCTTTCTTTCTTTCTTTCTTTCTTATTCTTTCTTTCTTATTCTTTCTTTCTTTCTCTCTTTCTTTCTCTCTTTCTTTCTTTCTTTCTTTCTTTCTTTCTTTCTTTCTTTCTTTCTTTCTTTCTTTCTTTCTTTCTTTCTTTCTTTCTTTCTTTCTTTCTTTCTTTCTTTCTTTCTTTCTTTCTTTCTTTCTTTCTTTCTTTCTTTCTTTCTTTCTTTCACCAAGAAGCAGAGCTGAGGAAGTCTGAGGGAACAGCTTCTCTGACCTGCTGGTTGTGGTCACAGTTGCTGTTTACAAATCCAGCAGTGACTGGGACAGTAGAGAAGAAGGAATCCCAAGTATTTCAGGAAAATCTTCATGTCACACTGAGGCTCTTAGGGAAATTTTTGTCCCAAACCCACCAAGTCTCCTGCATGTCTAGGTCATCAGACCGCAGCTTTCTGTACCTTGCAAGGCTTTCTCTTGTTCAGTGAGAGCTTGATCTGTCTGCAGGATGGATTCTTCTGTCATTGCCAGTGACTGTAGAAACCTTTGGAGGACCTCATCTGCCTGAACATGCACACAAGACAGAAACACATAATTTTCCCCAGACTGAGTCAGATGCTGAGAAGGGCAAACCCTCTGTGGTAGAAGCAATATCTGCTATATAGGCTAGGATATTGTTTTTTTCTTGAAAGGTATTGACAACATTTTTGGTATATGATTATCTCAGGAGACTAAACACAGAGGCCATGCATGTGACTACATGTCATTGAGTACTAAAAGGCCAACACACAAGGAGGTACAGCTGTGAGCCTCTCATTTCATTCCAAGCTTGAACCTGAGGTACTAGGCCAGCTTGCATCAGGCCTGGCCTATTATGACCCTCATATGACCTAGCTTCCTAAATCCCACAGCATATTCTCTAGGCAGGAAGAAGAGATTAATGTCAAGAACTTCCAGGTGAGATGTGAACTAAAAAGCCGACCGTGTCTAGACATTCTCCTCTTGGGGGATTATTGGTAGGAGAAAGTCACTGCTCAAACACCCAGTGAGATCAATGGAGCCCTCCTTGCATTGTCACCATTGCTGGCCTCCAGGTCTTTACTCACCTTTACCCCTTTCCTGGGAACTTGATGGTAATTGTTCATTATTTTTTCTCTTTCTTTCCTATAGAGCTGGTAACCCCCTGGCACAGAGAAGGTGCTTTGAGAAATGGCTGCCTTCAGGGTCTGAGAGAGATCCTGAAGCTTAGCTTGACAATATTTGGTTGATTCTTCCTCATTTTGACGGATGAAATCATCCTTCTTGGATTCTAAGGTTTGCTGCCAGTGAAATAGAGAGAAAGACAATTAGGGAAAAGGAAGCAATGTTATAATAATAATAATAACAGATAATGATTGACGTGATGCCTCAAAGGCTATCAGAGTGCCCTATTTCATTGTGGAGGGAACGAGATTTTAAAGAAACTGTTGACAGAAGGTCTACCTGTTTTTATTTTTCTGGAAAGATGTGCACTATGGTAGAATAAAACTTTAAATTCTGGTTTGGGAGTTGAGATACTTGGGCTCTGGTTTTAAATCTACTACTTTTTATTTAAGTTACCATGGACAAGTCATCTATGCTCTTTGGGGCACATACTCCTCACTTTCCAAATGTGGTGATTATATCAAATGATCCTACATGTCCCTGCCAGTCCCAAGCTTATAATAAATAATAATATGATTCTGTCTGTGATATGGGCCATGTGAGCACTACCAAGCTAAGTAAGACTTAGCAGACATTTGGACTGGCAGGAGATGCTCCTAGAAGGAACCCTAGGGTGCTAGGGCTGGGAAGATGTAGAGAGAGGAATGAGTCTATGAGCTCAGAGAAACTTCAGCAGCCTTTGAGAGAGCCACCATGCCCTCTATTCAGCAAATATATGAGTGGGTGATATTGTATTCTTGAAGAAGTAACTGATTTGTCCTAAGTGTCAACTCTGTGAAAAGAGGGAGCATCTTTTCATGATAAATAAGATTTGGGTCTTCATGACTCTAGCTCTCTAGAGAAACCAGGCTCTTCTCTTATGAGCTGGGGATACAGGACCCAAGGTATAAAATAAATTGGAAAGAGTCTGACTAGTCTCTAGGTATCGCTCAGAAAGGAGAGGTAAGAGGGAGGATAAATAGCTGAGAGAACATACCACCAGTTCCCCCTGGAACTCGTGGGTATCATCCTTGAAAGAATGCTTCATGAAAATTGAGATGGCTTCTTTCTCACAGTCTGTGTGTAGGTTGAGCAGGTCCTGGAGGGTTTCTGTGGGAAAGTCCACCTTTAGCGCCATCTGCTCTGCATAATGCATGACAGCTTTTTTCACAGCAGCCGAGTTCTCAATCTGAGCCAATGCTGACACTGCATTCTCCAGGCAGGGAATGTCTCCACTAGAGATGGTCCTCACATAGATCTCCAGCAGCTTTCCCAACCCTGATGACAAGATGGAATGGAAGATGAGGCAGAGAGCAACCTTCATTCATTTTGGTCCAAGTGTTAATTATCTAGGAGAACCGAAGCCTGCCTAAGGATCTCTTTTACAATATTGTTAGGGAGTAGCTTCTAATCACAACTAGATAATTTTGACTGAAGAGCAGAGCATGATGACTCAAGGCAGCTTCTTGTACTTTTTAACTATTTAAATGGTTAGGAAGTCTCAATTATTTATGACATCAAAATATACCTTTGGGCAAATGCTTCCCAGTTCTTCTCATTTTGACCTCTGAGGTCAAGGGAAATGGATCTAAACCTCCTTCCATGTGCTTGTTCTTGTGTGAACTTCAGTCTTTTTACAGATTTTGGTTATATTGTTCTGGAAATGTTAGCCTTTGTCTATGTCTTTCCTAAAGTGAGGTACCTAGAACTGAACACAGAATACCAGATGTGGCCTAACTGATGCAAGTGTCTGGCTCATTCTTGGCAACAAAATAACTTTGCATTTGAGAATACCATCTTGTACTGAGTTGTTAATCCATGCAATTATTTAGATCTTTTCCCCATGAATTATTTTCTATTTCTATCTAAACTTTCTTCTAATTAAGTTGATTTTTATACCCAAATGGAGAACTTTACATTTATTCTTCTCAGTTTCCATCATCCATTTAGAGTCATTGCTTTATTCTGCCAATATGACATTGTATCTCATTTCTTTCATTCAGTGTATTGGTTGTTCTTCTGAGCTCTATGCCATCTGCACATTGGATCACCATTCCATTTGCATCAGATTTAACTTTGTCAGTATTATTGAGAATGTTCAAAACCTTGAGGCATGGCATTATAGACTTCCCTTTAATTTGACTTCAAGTTATTGATGTTATTATTATTTTTTGCCAGGCAGCCAGGGTTAAATGACTTGCCCAGGGTCACACAACTAGTAAGTGTCAAATATCTGAGCCATGATTTGAACTCAGGTCCCTTGACTCTGCAGCTGGTGCTCTATCCACTATGCCACCTAGTTTCCCCTGACCTTGAGTGATTAAGGGCTGTTTTGTGAGTCTGGTCATTTACTATTTTCTGAATCTACCTGACAGTATGGCCATCTTTTTACATCTCTATCTTGTTCATAATCATAGCATGAGGCACTGTGTAATATTCTGTTGAATGAAATCTACCTATGCTAAGTTGACACAATTTCTCTCATCTACATCAGTCCAGTTACAGTACCAGATAAGGAGATCTGCTTCATCTACTGGATGTCAGTGACCACTGCTTCCCTTTCTTAGTACTTATAAACAATCCCCTTAATAATGAGCTCTAGAATATTGTCAGAAACAGAAGTCAAAGTCATGGTTTTATACTTTGCTAAATCCACTCACTTTGCTTTTGGAGAATTAAGGCAACTGCCTTTCTGCACACCTGTGGCACCTCTCTATTTTAATTTAATCTCCATCAAAGATTACTGACATTGTCTCAGAGTACATATTCTGAGGGATTTTAAACTGACAGTTCAGGAAACAGGAACAATGAAAACCAAGCCCATAAAGACATTAAAACAAAAACCTTACAATACCTGTACATAGTTCATAAGGACAGTAATAGAAAAATCTTACAATACATCTACACATATAAAGAAATAAAGGACACATATCCCATCTTAATCAAGTATGCACTGGAACAAAGGAAACTCACGATTCCCATTGACCATGGTTCCCCCATTAAGAGTCTTGGATTTTGCACTGGAAAAGATGTGAGAACAGAAGTTGTCTGCCTGATCCTTGAACGCAGGCTCCATCTGGCTTTCTTGGACATCATCAAGATGGGCTAACAATGACTTATCATTTGTTGGACGGTCAAATGTAAAACATTTCCGTTTTGGAAAGAATTTCCTGATGCACTCTCGTGTAGCGTTGGCCTCTTGAACTTTGGGATTCTTGCCTGAGAGATAGGAAATCAGATCATGGTAAGGCACAGGCCTGGGACAGGAGGATGATAAAGATGCTTAAGACTGATAATGGCTGTTTTCAAGTCTTCATGTATCCAATCCTAAGACAGAATGATAGACAGAATCTTTTAAAACTAGAAATGATTTGGGGCAGCTAGGTGGCACAGGGGATAGAGCACCGGCCCTGAAGTCAGGAGGACCTGAGTTCAAATCTGGCCTCAGACACATAACACTTACTAGCTGTGTGATCCTGGGCAGGTCACTTGACCCTATTGCCTAACCAAAAACCAAAACACAAAACAAAAAGCACTAGAAATGATTAGGGAGAGATTATTAGAAATCAAGCAATAGTTTGCTTCTTGTAAGGATGATGTATTGTGATATTCAGAGGAGACACCTAAAAACATGCAGAGGAAATGGATTTGTTCCAAATCTGAATGGAACCTCTCACAGATTCATAGTTGAGCTGTGCTAGATAGAACTTGGCAAATTATTGGACTAATTATAGATAATGTAAAAAGAGAATTGTGGCTCCCTGAAATAAAAAACCCCCAAGAGCTGAAGGCTAAAATCAGGCAGAAGACAGGCTTCCAGGTTAATAAATGCACATGCTCCTTATTTGATATAAATTTGTTTATTTTTAGTTTTCAACATTCACTTCCACAAGTTTTTGAGTTCCAAATTTTCACCCCATCTCCCCCTCCCCCCACCCCAAGATGTCATGCATTCTGAATATCCCTTCCCCTAGTCTGTCCTCTCTTCTATCTCTCTCCCCTTCTCTTATCCCCTTCCCCTTCTATTTTCCTGTAGGGCAGGACAGACTTCTGTACCCCATTTCCTATATTTCTCATTTCCCACTAGCATGTGAAAACATTTTTTTAAAAACATATGTTTTTAAAACTTTAGGTTTCAAAGTTTCTGTCTTCCTCCCTCCCCACCCACCCTCATTGAAAAGGCAAGCAATTCAATATAAGTTGTACACGTGCAGTTATGCAAAACACGTCCATAGTAGACATGTTGTGAAAAACTAACTCTATTTCCTTTAATCCTGTCCTGCCCTCCCATTTATTCTATTCTATCTTTTGACCCTGTCCCTCTTCAGAAGTATTTACTTCTGATTACCCCCTTTCCCAATCTGCCTTCCTCTCTATCTTCCCCCTGTTCTCTTGTCCCCTTCTCCCCCTATTTTCCTGTAGGGTAAGACATATTTCCATACCCAATTGAATGTGTATGTTATTCCCTCCTTAAGCCAAATCCTGTGAGAATAAGATTCACTCATTCCCTCTCACCTTCCCCCGTTTCCCCTTCCACTGTAAGAGACTTTTCTGGTTTTTTTTTTGTGCACATGCTCCTTATTTGAAGTTAATAACACTACCACTACAAACAGAATTGGCCATTGAGAAGAAACTGTCTCAGAAATCATTTTCAACACTTCTTTAGCACTCATCCTTTATAACCAGTTAGTTGCATTCTACCCCCATATCATCTCTTGAATTCATTGCCTTCTATAAGCTTCCCCCCTACAATTACCTGAGCTGAGGTCCTCATTACCTCTCACCTTGATTTTTGCAGTAGCAGTCTAACTGGTCTTCCTGCCTCCACTTCCTCCTCTCCCTACTTATCCTACGCATTACCAAATTGATATACCAGATGGACAAGCCTGATTATGGTATTGCCTGGCTCAAGAAGCTAGCTATCGTGCTTCCTTAATGTCTCAGGAACCAAATACAAACGTGACTCTTTGCTATTAAGCCTTTTCCAACCTCATTCTAATCCTTCTAGACTGGATTCATATTATTCTCCTTCCATCCTCTGTTTCAATCACACTGGCCTTCTTATTCTTTGTATATGACATTCTATCACTCATGCTCATGTTTCTGGCCAAGGAGTTCTATGCCTGGACTTTTCTCCCTGTCACCTTTTCCTCTTGGAACCTGTAACTCTCTGCAGCCCTCTATTTTGACAGTACCTCCTACAGAGGCCTTTGATGATCCTCACGGTTCTTTAGCTCTTTCTACCTCCTTTGTCCTCTACATTTATTTTGTACTTATTTTTACTCACTTATCTTTCACACGTTTTCTCCCACTAGTATGTAACCTTTTTGAAGGTATGCTGAGAGCACTTAGCGCAATCCCTTGGGTAGAGTAGATATTTAATGAATGCCTTTTGACTAGAATTGAAGGAACTCATTGCCAAACATGGTTGAGTGATATTTCTGGTGAGATCAGCATCTCTGCCTGTATGCCATCGAGGAGTTGCCAGCATACGATGAAAATAGTGCATACTTAGAGATTTGTACATTTGGATTTATAAACCCTTGTGAAGTGTTACAAGAAGAGTACTAGAGCAATGACAGAGCTGAATGGGAGCATGTGATGGTCAGTCTGAAATCTTTAGGATAAGCAAGATATATTTGAAAGATCGTAACCAGTATTTCTCTAGAATTCTCAAGGGGAGAAACCATCTGTCCTCACTAGCTATTAGATGTGTAGCAAGTGTTTTTTTGAGATATTGGAATCCAAACCTTTCCTTTTACCGATGAGAAAACTGAGGCTCAGAGACATTAAATCACTTGCCCAAAGTCACATGGGAAGTAAGCACCAAAGGTGTTATTTGAACCCAGGACTTCTGACTCCAAATGTCATTACCATTTTAATGGACAGCATGCCTTCTCAAGGGTATGGCTATCTCTTGTTATGAACCAGGTCTGTGCTGTTACTAGAGAGGAAGAATTCCTCAGGCTGTGCCCTGGACTGAATGAAATAACACTTAAAATCAAGTCATTCCTTTTTATTGCAATTCCATGCTTACCAAACAACTACAGGACATTCAGAAACATTGGCCTCCTTTGTAAATTTATAAGATACAAACCCATCACAGAGGTTGGTAAAAATCAGTTATCTCAGGGACTACTCCCCTCTGGGAGAGGTCACTAAATTGTGGAAATTCTGGAGCTAGAAAAAGAGATTAACTGACCCTCACCAAAGCCATGTGAGCCTAGATAGCTTTCAGGCTCCATTTCTATAGTCTGTGAGATTCAAAAGAATAAGCTCTGGGAAGAAACAGCTAAGCACCAAAGAAATAGAAAAAAATTCCCCTTCTATTGCCAAGGGCCCCTCATGGCCTAAACCTAACTCCTGATAAGTTACCTTGACTGAGTTTCAAGGCATTTTCCAGGTACTCATCTGAGGTGATGGGGTGGCCATGTAGCTCAAGCTCCAGGGTGAAATCCCGCACAGTCCACACAAAGTCTGGGAAGAAGCCCACAAACTCTGCTGAGTCTTCTCCAACAGCATTAGGTGAGGATTTGACTTTGATTAGCTCTGTCAGCTCTGTTACATATCTAAGATCATGGATAAGGAAAAGGAAACAGCAGCCTCATCAGTTCCCACTTTTACTTGTAGGATATTCCCTTCCCTGCAGTGAGTACATTCCCTTCTGTACCCATGGGATCTCAATCACAGATGTAAAAGGGGAAAGGAAAGGCATTTCAGGGTAGTCCCCAATCAGCCTGATGTTCTTCAATCAATTTGGTGAGACTCCATGTTTCATTATGATTCTTGATTATTGTAGTATTAGAACATAAGGTCTTGTACTGAACCAACGAGTCAAGAAGCATTTATTAAATGTTCACTGTGCATCAGGCAGGGTTCTAAGGGTAGGCATACAAATAAAGGCAAAAACATGGTCTCTGCTCTCAAGGAGTTCATATTGTAATGGGAGAGATAACATGTAAATGGTTAATGTAGGCTATACACATGCATATAAGGCATATATATCTATATGGATATACCTGTGTATGAATATACTGACATCAATGTTTATGTATGTATGTGTGTATACATATACACATATACACATATGTATGTATATACAAATTTTATATATATATATGTATATACATGTATATATTCACATACATATTTATAAATATCAGGGATCCCCAGAGGAATGCCTGTAGTATGTGGAGATTGAGAAAGATCCCTTGCTGAAGTGGGGATTTGAACTGAATCTTGGAGGAAAGAAGGGAAGGTAGGAATTGGAAGGGAAAGGAGAGAGTTGTACAGGTATGAAGAATAGTCAGTAAAAAGGCACTGAGTGAAAAGATGGAATGCCAAGTAAGAGGAAGAGCCAGAAGAACAGTGTGGTTTGATGCTTGAGTAGGAGGAGGAATTGTGTAAGAAGACTGCAAATGTATGAAAGGGCATGGTGGTAAGGGCTTTTAAAGCCAGACAGAAATTTTTATATTTGATCCTGGGAGTGATAGGCTCTACTAGAGTTTAGTAAGTTGAGTGACATCGTCAAATCTGTGCATTATGAAAATTACATTCACAACTGAATAAAGGAGGACTGAAGAGGAGAGAGACTTGAGGTAAGGAGACTAACCAGCAGTCTATTGAAATAGTCCAAATGTGAGGTGATAAGGCCCTGCAACAGAATTGTAGCAATATCTGAGGAAAGAAGGGGGAGAGATATAATGAAGATAAAATGAAAACTCATGATAACAGATTGGATACAGGGAATTAGAAAGAGGGAAGAGTTGAAGGTGACACCTAGTTCAAGAGGTTAGAGAACAGGGGATGAAAGTGTTCATGACAATAAGAAGTTGTGAAGAGAGAAGGATTTTGGGGAAAAGAATTCTGTTTTGGACATGTTGAGTTTGAAATGTCCATAGGACATCCAGTATGAGGTGTCCAATAAGCTACTAGGAATGAGAACCTTGAGCTCAGCAGAAAGGTTAGGGCTGGATAAGTAGGTCTGAGTATCATCAGTGTAGAGAGGATAACTGAATCCATTGGAACCAATGAGATTAAGAAGCAAGAAAGTAGAATGGAAGAAGAGAAGACAGCTCAGGGCAGAATCTTTCAGGACACCAAAGGTCAGTGGCCATTACCTGAATGAAGATCCAGCATAAGAGATGAGGAGAGGTCAGATGAGTAGGAGAAGAAACAGGAGAAATTGTGTCATAAAAATCTAGGGAGGGTATTTAGGAGAAGAGGTTGATCCACAGTGGCAAAGGCTTCAGAGAAGTCAAGCAGGATGAGGATTGAGGAAAGACCAGTACTTAAGAGTTTATTGTCAACTTTGAATAGAGGAGGTTCAGTTGAATAATGAGGTCAAAATGCAGACTTCAGAGGGGTTAAAAGAGAGTGAGAGGAAGGGAAGCAGAGATACTGATTATAGACATTTTTCTCAATGAGTTTCACTGTAAAAGAGAGTAGAGATAGAGGCTTGTAGCTTTTTGAGATAGTAGGATTGAGTGAAGGTTTTTTAAGGATGGGGGAGACATGGCTGATTTTATAGGTGACAGGAATGCAGCCTATAGATTGAAGATTAGTGAAAGGACAAGTGTTGAGGGCCAGAGCTGGAGAGTTTAATATGGGATAAGGAATTTAGGTTAGAGCTTGACTCTTTCCTTTTCCTACCTGTAAGGGCTTAATTATTCAGAATATTTGGCTCACCAACTTCCCATGCCTAGGAGGTTAGAACACTCTGACCCTTAGACCTTGGTAGTAAGCAGGTGTGAACAATTAAGGATGCCCATAAGGGCTGGGGTTAGTCCTGTAAGAATGGTGAGAATGCCTCAGGAATGATTGTTCACTTTCACTATATAATCTCGACCCTCAGAATAATAAATTGGCTCAGTCTTTCACTGATCCACCTCGCCCATGTTTCTTCATTTCGCACTCCTCCATTTGATGCAACACTTAGTCACAGGCAACAGACAAGGATGATAGAAAAACCTTTAGAAAAGACAGAATGAGATGGAATCAAGGAAGCATGTAACAGGTTTGCTTTAGCAAGAAGAGGGGCCAGCTCTTCATGTGAGACTGGGGTGAAGGATGGGATGTAAAGGAAGACATGAGTGATGTGAGATGAGAAAAAGGGGAGAAGAAGAGGCTTGGCAGTGATAAGGCAAAGTGAAAGATGGAATGATCAAGACATTTCAGAAGTGGAATACAGATGTATGATGGCAAACTCAACCAAGGCCCACCCAAGGCTTCACTTGTGGGCCTGGTGCCAGACTGTCACGTGAGGATCAACTAATCTGGTTTGGGGACATTGACCCTAAGAAGCTTGGATATTTCTGAGCTGAGTAAGTAATGATAACAGCTCCCAAAGTGTGGAGAACTTGTTTTCCGTCCTGGTGAGAGAGCAATTGCACTGAGCATGCTGTGGATGTTCTGAAGTTCTGAAAGGATACTGCATCTGCTCCAAGGCCTGTTGGTTGATGGTGTTCATGCTGTTGTAGACAAAAGTGCTGCTGAGGAGGATGGCCAGGGCAAAGATCCATGAGTCATTCTTGGAGTCACCCTACAAAACAATTATGTTAGTGAGCCTATTATTCAATCCTTCCTCTATGATACAGTATGACCCTTAGAGTTAGTGGTCAGTTTCACTGAAGTCAGGGAATATTCATCTGTTCAAGTTTTGATGCCTTAAGTTTGGAACTAGAGATTGTAATGTAAGTCATTGCCTGGAATTTATGCCTAAAATATTACACATGTCTCTCTCTCTCTCTCTCTCTCTCTCTCTCTCTCTCTCTCTCTCTCTCTCTTTTGATCAGTCTATATTTCATCTGGTACACTTTCTAATGTAACCAATCAAAGACAGATCAAGACTGGCAAAGCTGGAGTGTATTTTTGCATTCAGTTTCTAATTTTCAAATAATATTTTAATTTTTCCCTCACTTGTTAAAACAATTTTTATCCTTGTTTTTTTTTTTTAAGTTTTCAGTTCCAAATTCTATCCCTTGCTCCTTCTCCTCCACCATCCCTGAGATGGTAGACAATCTGATATAGGTTATGTCCATATTAGTCACTTTTTACAAGAAAACTTGAACAAAAATTAAAAAAGAATGAAAGAAAGAGGAAGGAAGGAAGAAAAGGAAAAAAACCAGTATGCTTCAGTCTGTCTTCAGATATCAGGCCTTCATCTGAAGGCAGATATCATATTTCATCATGAGTCGCTTGGGATTATCTTGGATCTTATATTGCTGAGAATAGGTAAGTCATTCACAATTCATCATTGTACAATATTGATATTAATGTGTACAATGTTCTCCTGGTTCTGTTCACTTCACTTTGCATCAGTTCATATAAGTGTCTCCAGGTTTTTATAGAATCTGCCTGTTCATTATTTCTTATAGGACAATAATATTTCATCACAATCTGATACTACAATTTATTCAGCCATTCCCCAATTGAAGGGCATCTCCTCAATTTCCAATTCTTTGCCACCAGAAAATGAGCTGCTGTAAGTATTTTTGTACGTGTAGGTCTTTTCCCCTTTTTTATGATCGCTTTGGGATTCAGACCTAGAAGTGCCATTGGTGGATCAAAGATTATGCAGTTTAATTGCCCTTTGAGCATTGTTCCTAATTGCTTTCCTGAATGGTTGGATCAGTTCACAACTCCGCCAACAGTGCCTTAGTGTCCCAAATTTTCCACATCCTTTACAACGCTTATCATTTCCTTTTTTTTTTTTTGTCATATTAGCTATTCTGATAGGTGTGAGGTGTTATCTAAGAGTTATTTTAATTTGTATTTCTCTGATCAATACTGATTTGGAGCATTTTTTTCATATGACTATAGATAGCTTTGATTTCTTTGTCTGAAAACTGCCTGTTTCTATGCTTTGACTGTTCATTAATTGGAGGATGACTTATATTCTTATTAATATGACTCAGTTCTTTTATATTTGAGAAATAAGGCCTTTATTAGAGATAATTGCTGCAAAAAAATTTCCCCAATTTTCTGCTTTTCTTCTCATTTTGGTTGCACTGGTTTTCTTTGTACAAAACCTTTTTTAATTTCATATAATCAGAATTATCTATTTTACATTTTATGAGGCTTTCCATATCTTTTTTGATCCTAAATTCTTCCCTTATCCATGGTCCTGAGAGGAAAACTATTGCAGGCTCTCCCAATTTGCTTATGGTATCATCCCTTATATGTAAATCATATGCTCATTTTGCCCTTATCTTGGTATGCAATATGAGTTGTTAGTCTATACCTAGTTTCTGCCATACTGTTTGCCAGTCCCCCACCCCTCTGGCCCCTAGTTTTTGTCAAATAAAGAGTTTTTGTTCCAAAAGGTTAGATTTTGAGATTTATCAAATTCTAGATTACTCCAGTCATTTACTACAATGTATTGTACACCTAATCTATTCCACTGATCCACCACTGTATATTTCTTAGCCAGTACTAGATTGTTTTGATGATTACCACGTTGTAATGCAGTTTGAGATCTGGTAAGCCTAGATCACCTTTTTTCACATTTTCTTTCATTGACTCCATTGATATTATTGACCTTTTGTTCTTCCAAATGAATTTTGTTATTATTTTTTTCTAGCTCTATAAAATAACTTTTTGTTAGTTTGATTGATATGGCACTGAATAAATTGATTAAATTAGTTAAGCTTTTTAAATTATTATTATATTGGCTCAGCCTCTCCAGGAATAATGAATATTTTCCCAGTTGTTTAGATTTGACTTTATTTGCAGGAAAAATATTTTTGCATTGTGTTCATATAGTACCTGGGGTTGTCTTGGCAAGTAGAGTCCCAAGTGTTTTGTATCGTCAGTTTTTTAAATGGAATTTCTCTTTCTATCTCTTCCTGCTGTGCTTTGTTGCTTATATATAGAAATGCTTGTCATTTATGTAGGTTTATTTTATATCCTTCAACTTTGCTAAAATTGTTAATTACTTTAACTAGTTTTTAGTTGATTCTCTAAGTATACCATCATATCATCTGCAAAGAGTGATAGTTTTGTTTCCTCATTGCCTATTCTAATTCCTTCAATTTCTTTTTCTCTTCTTATTGGTATAGCTAGCATTTCAAGTACAGTATTGAATGATAGTGGTGATAATAAGCATCCTTGCTCTACCCCTGATTGGATTGGGAAGGCTTCTACCTTATTTCCATTTCAGATAATACTTACTGATGGTTTTAGAAAGATATGCGTTATCTTTTTAAGTTAAACTCCATGCTCTCTAGTGTTTTAATAGGAATGTGTTTTATATTTTATCAATGACTTTTTCTGCATTTTTTGGGACAATGATATGATTTCCGTTGGTTTTGTTATTGAAATGGTTAGTTATGCTGATAGTTTTTGTTATCTTGAACCAGACTTGAGTTCCTGGTATGAATCCCACCTAGTCATTCATTTTCATCAAGCAAGCAAGACACTCAAGGGAGAGACAGGAGGTAGCCTATATCAGGCAACAAAATTCCCACCACCCCTTGACTGTCAACTCCCCTAAGATTTGGAGAGAGACAGCCCAGGTGTCTGAACCCAAGGTTGCTCTGCCTCTTGGTATAACAATGTCATCTAGACAATCTAACCCCCTTCCATCCTGGACCCCAGAGCTATTATTTGGGGAAATATTATGTTGAGGTGAGAAATCATATTCAAATAAAGAGCTTTCCTTCTTTTCTATCACCTATACTAACTTCCACCAATAAGCAGACAGGCCCACGAGGCCTGGAAAGGGCAGATCACCAGTCCTACTGGCAGCCCAATACCAGCTCCCATCATACCTGGGTATGGAAAGAATGTTTTTGCTACCAAATTCTCAAACAGCGCAATAGCAGAAACTGATATGTTTTTATTAGGCTAAATGACATTAAAGAAGAGGCATTAACTGCATTGTCTCTGCACCATAAAGAAGGAACCTGAGACCTCTCTATCTGACTTAGAGCTGAAATCTCTTGTGTGTTTTCTTACCCATTAGAATGGGAATTCCTGGGGAGTAGGAATTGTCTTGCTTTTTTTTTTTTAATCTCCAGCATTTCATATAATACTTTGTACATACTACGCGCTTAGGAAATGCTTTTTCATTCATTTGTTCATCTCAGCTTGATCAATTATACAGAATTTTCAAAGCACAGAAAAGACAAATTGAGCTCAACCTCTTGTAGCAAAAGAATGAAGACACCAAGAATAGTGACTTTCCTCTAGGGAGCTCTAGGGAGCTAGAGGAAAGAGGGAGAGGTGGGTAGAACATGAAATTAAAATCCCTACCATTGTCTCTTGATAGGTTCAAGATGGACCAAGCCTGTGTCTGAACAGGACATCCCCAGAGAGGACACAAGTAAGCAAAAAGACTTTGCAGAAACTGTGATTAACAGAGACTGTGAAAGGCTTGTGTTCAGTACAAGGTCAAACACTCTCTGCATTTCACAATCTCCCTAGGTTTCCCCTCCTTTTTCTGGGAAAAGAGGTGATTGGTTTATATCCTCTTGAGGTTCTTTCCAGATCTAGATCAAGAATTCTATGACCAGTTGAAGGTTTGGGCCTCATATCTTATAGTGTTAAATTCTACCCAATGGTGGGTGAAAGGAGACAATCTTTATGTTAAAGTGTAGGTCAAACCATGATAGGTAAGATGAAATAACAGTGGGAACAGTCGTTGTTCTATCTGTCCTTAAGGTGTGGATTGTATTAGATAAAGAACTTTGGGTGGTCCAGAGGAAGACTTCTTCTTAGTAATTGTAGAACTTTGGAAACATGGAGAAATCATCTTGGAAGGATAGTGATATAAGGAGAAAGAGTGATAGGCAAAAAATTGTTAAGGGCAACTGACATGAAAGCAGTCTTAGAGTGCTGAGGGGATTTTTTTGAATCTTGTCAAAAGCCTTTTTTCATTGCAAAGGGAAAGGACCTTGGTAATGAATCTCTCCATTTTTCACCAGTTGTTTGGACTCCAGGGACCACCGTGCCCATCATGCCTCCCCCAGGATAAGCTGATCACCTGAAATCTCCTCCCCGTGCTGGGTGACTGAATTTTTGATTCCCAATAACTTCTTAGCTCCCTCAATTGCCTTTCCCTCTGATTGGAGGGCACAGCAGTAAATTCCTCCCAAAGCTTTCTTTTAGAGTGGGCTCAGATCAGAACTTTGCAGGTGACTCTCCATTTTCTATCAGCAGCTCTGCTTGGTCTTGATTCCACGCAATGTCATGCCCTACACAGGATTTCGCCTTTCCCCCTCCCCCATTGTCAGCTTCCTTTTCTCTTCCTCCATTAGTTTGAAAGCTTCCTTCTCTTTCTTTCCTTTTCTTATTTGCACTCTCAACACTTAGCACAGTGCCTAGCACACACTAGTTGCTTAATATATTTTTACTGATTGACTTGGCATGGTCATAGTCCTGTTGGAGAGGACAATAGGACCTTTGCTCTTAAGATTTCATAATTTCCACTTAAGCTTCTGCCCATGAATGTGGACCTCGATGGGGATAAGACAAACTTGGGAAGGAATCTGATGCGAAGGAGTATGGAGCCTCAGCGGCCAGCATAGCTACACATAGAGTTGGTTCTATTCAGGTGGCCACACTCCAGCCAGAAATTTCAACTCTTTTATACTCACAGAGGAAATGTGAGGCCCTTGTAGTTGCAAAAACTCTAAAGAACAACAATATCCACATGAAATAAAGCCAGGAAGAATCAGACTTTAGAGGATGTGTTATGGGATCATCAGTTTCCCTGGCTTTCATAAACACCCTGCCAATAGCTCACATCTGTGCATTGCTTTGTATTGGTATACAAGCTTTGCAAAGGATTTTACAGAGATTATCTCACTTTAGCCCCCAAATAATCCCATTATGTGCCTGCTATTATTATCCCCATTTTACAAATAAGGAAACTTAGACTTTCCCAGTGTTTTTCCCACAGTCACAAAGCTCATTACTGTCTGAGATAGAATTCAAACTCAGATCTTTCTGATACCAAGCTCAGCAATCTAGCCACAGTGTTCCCTGGCTACTCCCTGAAGGCAGGGACTGGGTGACATTAGAATTTTTGTCCCCTGAGCCCAGCAAGGAGTAGGTTCTTAGCAAATTCTGGCTAATGGGTAGACTGATCTTTTCCATTCACTGGTGAATTTATAGCCTGCAGGAACAAGTTCAGAAATGGGCTTTCAGAGGCTTTTTAAAGAAATGGGAACTGCCTCCAAGAAATGGGATTCCCAGACAATCAGTCTGACCTGAGGTCCAGCGCCATCCTCCTCTAGGGGTTTTGGTCAACTTCCTCTTTTGGCCCATCTTTTCCTACAGTTAGAACTTTGGGGAAGTCCTGGATACACTGAGAGTAGTAGGACCCTGTGATGGGCCCTTTATGTTCACCTGGCATGGCCTCCTTCCTCAACGTGATGGCAGCATCCCAAAGCCCAGGCTGCAGCCCCAGGCCCATCCCACTTGATCACCCCACAGATATATAGCACAAGCAGCCCTTGGCAGTAGGCTTTTGTACCCGCACACAGGCCTGTCAGGTGTAAGAGGTCATTCCTTCTTAGCTCAGGCAGAGCCAGGGAGGGTAATTGAGTGAGCAGAATGTCACAGATTAATTTACCTTTTCCACGTCTCCAAGGCCCTCGGTATCAAGCAGAACTAAGACGTGGTCCGCTTTGCTGGGGTGAGGGACGCACCACATCCAGATGCCCTTTGTGTGAGACTGCACAGTGGAGCCAAGGGAGAAGCCTGCAAGGGAAGAGTGAGACATGAGGGCCCAGGGGAGGCAGGGAGCCCAGAGGCTGCAGCAGCCAAACTCCTAGGTCCTAAAGGGAGAAGATGGGGAGCTCCTCAGTGGGGAAAGAATGAGAACGAGGATCAGAGTTAGCATTTATGCAGCATGTTTTATGTGTGTTCTCTCACTTTCCTGTGTTTTCCTCAACTGTAAAATGGGTGTACTATTAGCAACTATGTGGTAATGCTGTGGGCTAGGCGTTTCTTTTACCTCCATTTCACAGAGGAGGGAACTGAGACTGAGGGAGGTAAATTACTAGGCTTGGGTCACACAGCCCGTGATCAGCTGAGGAAGCTTTCACACTCAGGTCCTCCTGGTTCCACATCATCCATATCAGCAGCTAGGGACAGAGGAATGCATGCATTCAGTTCACCCAGAGCACTGTGAGATTAGACTTAGGGGGTAAGATCTGTGGTAAAGGTGGCAAAGAAGTTCAATGAGAGCTTCCGGTGTGCCTGGAGACATTATCTTTCTTAACAGATTCAGCCACGCCCAAGCCTGCAAAAAGTTTAGACCAGCTCCAGAAACCTGAGCTTACAGAATGAAGAGCAGCCCAGAGGAGGGCATCATGGGAGTGTTGGGAGAGAGCAAGGAAGGACACAGGACAGCTGTGGGACCCTGGGCAAGTCATTGAATCTCTGTGAGCCCCTCCCCCACCCAGACCCCAGGAAACTTTCTAAGACCTGAAGTGACAGAAAAACAGCTGATCTACATGAGAAGGAAAATCTGTATTCTGCAGGAGCCATGGGCCAGTAACACACACACACACACACACACACACACACACACACACACACACATGCAAACACACAGAGCACAGCACTAAGATGATTCCCTGGAATCAAGCCAGCTTCAGTTTCATGCTGACTCAGTAAGTTTTCTAAAAACTGTCCTTATATGAACTCACAATATCTTTCCCTAATGGGGTGATGGAAGCAAAGGAAACAGTCATGCAATGCCTACAGTGTCCCAGGAGCTGTGCTAAACATTCCAAAATAATATCTCATTTAATCCTCACAACAGCCAAGCCACATAATTGCTAATAGTATACCCATTTTACAGTTGAGGAAAACACAGGTAAGTGAGATCACGTGACTTGCCCAGACTCATGCTGCTAGCCAGTCCAGATTTGAAGTTAGGTCTTCCTGACTCTACGTCCAGCAGTCTATCTACTTTGAGGGCTTGTCCAGAAAGCCCATGAACCAAACATCTACACAAAGAGTCTACTTCTTCATGGTTCCCTTATTATTCCAAATGTTTTCTCCTTGAGGAAAATTTTTCTTTTCATTATTTTCTGTCATTTAATTCTTGGTACATCTTGTTTTTTGATATTTATTTTATTACTATTGTCTGTAACATTTAAAAAATATTGCTGTTGTTTTAGGTCTACATTTACTACATACCTTCCTTTTATCATTGGTTGGCCAAGTTTATCCTAATTTTACCAGTAGCAAAGCAGGGGTGAGCCTAGAGGAGCCTTGTACCTATTATTTGTTAGATTTCAATGTGAGCACCAGAGGTCCCCAACTATTGTAGATTTGAACCCTGACAAAGGATGCTGGTATGGGAATGTGTACTTGCTTTCTGGAGGCACCAATGAAAGGTCTTTACACATACCATGAAACATTTTAGAGGGGTGCGAGGTACTGGGAGAGTTTTCTGGAAGGAAAACAATGCAGCTGGGAACTTTGTCAGATTCCCAGAGAGAAATCCAGGAAGGAGAAAGCAGATTGATGTGACTGATGATTACCTGCTATCATTTCCTGGAACTATGCATTTTTATTTGAGGGGTAGGTTATGGAATCTAGTAGAAGGTTAGCCCAGGAGGAGCCTGGTAATGAGTATCTTCTTGTTACCCAGGTTGATGAAGTGATAAGTTGAGGCCTTTCTTGCACTGAAGATGTTTAGTGCTAAATGAAGGCAGCCTGACTTGATAGGTTGTGAATGCTCCTAGTCCTTGGTGGGGCTCCCTGATTAGGAGGCCTGTTTGACCATCCAGTAATCATGAGGGCTTTCTCTTGGTAGAAATGGATCTCATCAGAGAGGGATACTATTTTGACAACAAATGGAGACATATTACTGCATATTATATACCATATGTTTCCAAAAAGATGAATGATTTAAACAGTTTAAAACCTTGCACCATAAAAGAATTAAAAGTAGATAGAAGGTTATATTTTTGAAGCTGTTGACAGTGGAAAAGTTCTTTATCAGCCATATCTTACAGAAAATTATGAGGCAAAATATAAAACCAAATAAAAGTGAAAAGTAATTCAACCAAAGAATGATTAATGAGATTTTGCTGAGTTCCAAACCAGTCCAATTAGACTCAGAGCTGTGGTCTTGGATCAAGGGTTACCTGCATATGTCTTAGGTTATATATCTGATCCTGGTACTGAGGGACTTTGTCCTGATGCAAGATGAAATTAGAGGGCCTTTTGTCCTAGCTACCGCCACCACAAATACTGACCAACTGCCACATTTGGGCAAGTAGTCCCTGGAGGCCTATGAACAGCAACGTGGCCTAGACCACCAGCTTTCCTGCCAGTGTGGCCCACAAATCCAAAATCTAGGAATTCAACTCTTACCCTGTGGAGAAGAGGCCCCCCCATCCTTACTGCTATGAACAAAGGTGCTGACCAACGGGCCCTCACCAGACTGGAAATCCAGCCTCAATGTATCTGTTGGGCATCCTGAGCAGAAGTCAACATAGAGCAGGAAGATCAAACCACCACTGCCACCTTATCATTCCGTACTCTCAGACCTTGCCAAGGTAGCTCAAATCCCTTCTGCCAAAACCCCTAGGAAGAGGAGTGCCCTTAACCTCTAACCCCAATCGTCATCCACCACAGCAGTTATCCTGGGGAGTAGACCCTTGAGACAGAAATTTGTCTCTACCACCACCTCTGCTAACAGCTGACCATCCAATTATTGGCGCCACCTCTTAGCAGCAGGTAAGTATGAGAGGCCTGAAACAACAGCATCCCCTTCACCCTGGCCACCTGCCCTGAATCCAGCCCACCCCAGGCAGCCATGGTCCAGGGCAATATTCCCTTAGATCTGGCTACTGACTCTGCAGGTGCTGTGGCCTCCATTCCTTCAGTAGCAAGTAAAGACCCCCAAACAATCATTGTTACTGACCAATGATGCTGCAAGAGTGGTTTTAATCCACAGAAGAGACAACAGAGGAGATGCATTAATATCTGATTTTCTGCTGAACCCGTAGGACCAGTGGCCTTTCCATGACTTCCAGCTGAAACCTTGTGTGTGTGTGTGTGATCTCCTCTTGACAATAGGGGCTGTCTTGATTTTGTATTGGTATCATCAGTACTTAGCACAGTAGTTGGCATGTAGTGCTTAGTAAATTCATTCTTTCATTAGGGGAAGAAAGGGGAGGTGGGAAGATTCTAAAGGTAAAGTTGTTGATATTCTTCAGGACTCAGTTTTAATGCAGCAACAAATAGATTTCATAAGACAAGCCACAATGTGGTAAGTGCAGAAAGCCCTGACTTGAGAGTAACAAAGCTTGCCTCTCTTGTTTGCTCCCTGTGTGACACTGAGCAAATCAGTAGGCCTTTCTGGGGCTTACTTTCCTCAATTGTAAAAAGAGAAGGATTGAATTAGAGGTTCCCTAGGGTCCTTTCCAGCACTGTGTGGATGATCCCATAAGAATGATCACTATGGTGAAAATGCTTCCCTCTTGTGATCTGGCTGCTCTGGTCACTCACAGGAGTAACTGACAACCCCAGTCTCAGACCAACACAATGTAAAGTAGAGGCGATAATCCTGAGGGATGCAGGGCTAGCAGGAGGTAAGAGACACAGCCACGAGGAGACAGGCAGCCAGGGGACAGCAACCGGGGCAGGACACTTTCCCATTTTTAAAGTAACACACATATTTTTAATGCTAGAGCATGTGGGTCTCTCTGTCATGAAGATATTTGTTGTGGAGTAATTTAATTTACAAGTATTACAGTATAAGATCTAAGCCTTTGGTGGACACTCCATCTCCTGACTCGGTCTCTCCTGTCTGGAATGCTCCCCCTCCTCACCTCTGCCTTTTGGCCTCCCTGTTTCCCTGCAATTCTCAGCTGAACTGGAGTGAGAAACTTGTCTGGATCCCTTTAATGCTACTGCCTTTCCTCTAATGATTATCTCCAGTGTATCTTATATAGATCTCATTTGTACAGTTTTTTTTCCCATGTTGTCTCCCCCATTAGATTGTCAGGTTTTTGAGAGGAGGGATTGAATTTTCCTTTCTTTGTATTCTCAGCACTTAGCTTAATTTCTAGTACATAGTAGGTACTCAATAAATGCTTGTTGACTGACTGGAAGGCAACAGTAGAGAGGGGCCAACTTTTAACCCCTTCATGAGGTCTTAGATATACCTTGTAGCAATTCCAAACCTGTGGCATAATATCCTCCAAAATTAGACTCCTGGAGGCCAGGACTCCACTTACCTTTGTTCTTTCCTGCCAGCCTGTTCATCAGGTAGGATTTTCCAGTACGGTACAAGCCAACAATGGCTACCACCACCACTGGCTTGGTAATGGAAGCAAGCATCTGTAGGGCTTGCTGGTTTACCGTCAGCTCTCCATTGCTGTTTTCTACCAGACATATGGGGGCCTTCATGGGCACTGCAGATGCCATGATCACCTGTAAATGCAAAGGAGCCCCTTAGACAGAAATCAACATGTAGAATTCACATTTACTTAAATTGAGGCTGCATAGATGAGGCAGATATTAGTAGCAGCAGAAGAGTGGTTGCTCTGCACTTGTGGAATTTTATTTTAAGGAACACAGAACTGGTAATGGCAGATAATACTATTGATGATATTAATGGAAATGATAACCATTACCTTTATGGAGTACCTTAAGAGTTACAAAGTACTTTACAAATACTGTCTCATTCTCTGGGTCATAAATGCAATTATTATCCCCATTCTTACAGATGAGGAAAGATGAGACAGTTTTCCATTGTTTAAATGTAGGTCTTCCTGACTCCTGGACCAGCTCTCTATCCACTGTACTACTGAGCTCCCTTGACCGGATGTCCTGTCACATCATTCTTGATCCCTAAGGCTGTCACATAGGAAAACTATTCCTAATCTTTGAAAGTCCCACCCTGCAAGTTTCTACCTGGTTCAATAATCACATGCCTTTGCATTATGTTGGTCCAGGTTCACAGTGGCCATGGCCATGCATTGGTGTGAGAGAGGGATAATATGGGGCAATGTCTGGGTCGAATACTTTGAGATGGTTTTTTTAATTAGTATCTGGTGCTAGTCCATTCTTAGTGCTGCCTGAGCAACTTTGGGGTGATTTCTGTCCATCCCTCCCTTCCTCTACTGCACCCTGAAATTTCTGGTTACTGCTTCAAATTCTGTTTCCTGACTCCTGCTTTTCACTCTAAATTTGTGGACACCAAGGAGCGCTTTGGTTTTACTGTGGTATAGCATAATCACTGGCATCATGGCAGAGTAGGTGGAGAGTTAGTTTGAAAGTCAGAAAGACATTCATTAAATTCTGTCTCTGACACAACCTGAATTTGTGACACTAGACAAGTCACTCAACATGCTGAAGACCCATAGATCTTTCTAAAGTTATAAATTGCAGAACAGTTGTAGGCCTACATTGGGAGAAGGAGTTTCTTTCCTAAAAGATTATTACATGAATGAAACCTTAGGTCCAGAGAAATAAAAATCATTAGTGGAAGTCACCCCCTTTCTAGATAGGAAACAATGACCCCAAATTCTGACCTCATGACAGGAATCCAGAACCAGCCCCTCAGTGGCTGCTCAGACAATGCCTAAGACTCTGGCCCCCTCCTTCCCTCCAGGTGAGGTCTCTGGGGCTCTAGGGTGGTGCAGCCAGAGCCCCAGTTGAATACAGCCCTTATAGCAGTAGTAGAGCCAGAAAGAATGTTACAGTTCTTTCTGGGAGCGACGAAATGAGGCCAAGAGTGGGGATAGTCACCCTCTCTGCCTCCTAGGGTCACCAAGGATTCTTTCTGCCTGGTGTGTAGATGTTTTCCCTAGGTTTCTGGTCTCATGTAGATAGCCTGTGGATCTTTACTCCTGGGAACATCCCAGAGCTTGGACCAAGGCAGCCTTCACTGTTCCAAACATGGAGGGCAGGATGCCCTCTATATCTACTCTGACCTCATAAGATATCATTCTCATTAGATAATGTGGATCAGGCAAGGAGACTTTCCTCATTTTTCTGGGATTTGAGAAAGCCAGCATCTGGATATTCTAGGTCAGGAGAGGACAAGGAAAAGTGATAAGATAAGCCATCCTCTAATGTGGGACTTGATAAGATAAGCCATCCTCTAATGTGGGACTTGTGGCAAGTTGGATATAGGGCTGGACCTGGAGTCAGGAGGAGTAGGGCTCTCATCCTGTCAGCCAGACATCCCAGCTGGATGACCATGGACTTAATATCTCTGAACCTCAGGCCCCTCATCTGTGCAATGGGCACAATAGCAAAGTACCTACATCACTGGACTATTTAGTGGCTTAAATGAGAAAATTTCTCTAAAGCACTTAGTGAACTTTTAAGGGCAATTCAGTTGCCAACTGTCACTCCTCTTTGCACTTTTCATACTCAGTCTTTTAAGGTATAGCTTGAACTTCTCCTAATGAATTAGCCCCAGCTCTTCTTTGCCTCATGGATCACTGTCTGGTGGTGGTGGTGAGCACTGGCTGACAATCGATGATCCACAGGAGAAGGAAATAGCAAACCAGTCTACAAGTTTTGCCTCTTCTTACTGGATTTTAATCCTGAGACAAATTTTCAAGCTCCAGGGGAAAAGAGGAATGGAAGACAAGAAAACTGGGGGAAAAAGCCCTTACCTATTTCACGTTGCTTCAAGTCAAACTGTTCGCGAATGCTGTCACAAGTTTTCTCTGTCTCTCAGCTCTTCCCTTATTTGCTCTTCCTTTTCCTCTCCTCTCTTCTCTTTGTTGCTTCTCAAAACTTCTGTTATTTGTAGTGGGAAGGAAAGAGTGGAAGTGAAATTGAAACCAAAAGCAAATCTTTCTGTTCCTAACTCCCTCAGAGTAGAATGGGAGACTGAAGTGGACTTATCTGCGCAGTGTTTTGAGAAAATGCAGCAAATGTCTAATTATTCACCAGATGTGAGAGCTAAACAGCCTACATGTACTTTGTACAGATCAGGACAATGAGAGACAGGGCCTCCCAGTGCAAATTCTTCAGGTAGATGACCTAGGTCCCTGATGGCTGGCATTAAAGAAATGTTAAAATGTCAGAACCTCATATCTGCTGGCATTTATTTTAGTGCAACATATAGCAGACTAAGGGCAGCCATGTGGCATAGTGGATAGAGTGCCAGGCTTGGGGTCAGGAAGACTCATCTTCATGAGTTCAAACCTGACCATATCACAAACCTACTCACAAAACCTCAACAGGCTCTCTATTGCCTCTAAGATCAAATTGTAGGCTCCCCCTGCTTTCAATAGGCCCTCACTTCCTGCCTGGTTCCCATTAAGTGTAAGTTCTCTGTGGGCAGGGACTCTGCTTTTTGTCTTTGCAGCCCCAGTGTCTAGCCTTGTGCCTGGTAGAAATGGTGCCATAGCAGATGTTTAATAAATGGAGGTTGAATGAATGAATGAATAGCATCTCTGCCCTATCCATTCTCTGCAACCTCACTGTATCTGAAATCTTCCTTGATGAAAATTTCCAGCTTCTTTCCTTGACACACCAATCAGGTGCTATGTCCTGGCCTTCCCTATAAACACCTGGCCCTCTTCTGCTTTCCATGGGATACCTGGTAACGCTCACTGGATTGAGGTTCTGGAGGGAGGTGGAGAACAGATAGTTGGATAATAGCTTGACATAATGTGAGCTACAGTTCTTTTTTTCCCTTTGTTTTAAAATTATTATTCTTTGGCAAACAAAAATCTGTTTTCTCCCTGTCCTATTATTTAAACTTCTAGGTGGCACAGTACAGAAGTTTCTGTAGCCTATAGTCAGGAAACCCTGAGTTCAAACCTGGTCTCAGACACTTAATAGCTAAGAGACCCTGGCCAAGTCACTTAACCTCTGCTTGCTCCAGTTTTCTCATCTGTAAAATGGGGGCAACAGTAACACCTACCTACCAGGATTGTGGTGAAGACCAAAAGTGATAATACTTATAAAGTACTTAGCACAGTACCCGGCACATAGTAGGCACTTTATAAATGTTTATTTCCTTTCTTCTTTTATTTCCCCCATGGGAAAAGAAAAGAAAAAACAAAACTCTTATAAAAAATATACATAGCGAAACCACAGAAATTACCTCATTGACCCTGTCCAAAACAGGCTATATTTGTGGAGGGCGCCTCTCGTGTGCTCATCTCTTCCATGCCTCCTCCTTGCCTGGATTCAAGATAATCTCATCCGTGCCCAGTGCCCTGCTTGCTGACAGCAGATAGGGTAGCTGGAACTGGGGAGTTTTCAGAAGGCAAGGAGTTAATCTACCAGAACCAGGTCTAGTTGGGGCTGTGGTAGGGGTGGGGCTTCTTTCTGCTTGGTGGTGATCCCTGAAGAATAGAGAGGTAATGCTATCAGCAGAAGCCTGAGACCCTGCTCACAGGAGACCAACATGTGGCCCATGAATATAGGCCTTGGTTCTTTGCTTGTACATGTGTGCTTTTGTCTCAGGTGTAAGAGACTGTAGCTCATGATGTTGTGAATTTGCAAAGATGAGGAGACTGAGCCCCCAGGATATCCAGGTATATAGAGTCCAACCTGGATTTTGGAGCCAGCTTGTCCAGCTTTGAGAGCCCCAGGAGTGATGAGTGGTCTTCAGGCCACAGTCCAGCAGTAGCTGAGACCACAGCTCATCTTGTAGCCATGCCACATTTGGCCATGAATTTGGCAGGACCGATGCTATGTAGAAGTGGTGTGAGTCTGAGCCCAGTCCTCAAAGATCGAGGTGGTAAAGGAATCCTTACTACAACCTAACCAACAAATAGCCATCTGGCCTCTGAGCCCAGACAGCCAGAACTGGGAGCAGTGAGTAGAAGCTGCAGAGCAATAGATCATATGTTCTCCTTTTTTTTTTTTTAAGGCAGTTGGGGTTAAGTGACCTGCCCAGGGTCGCACCGCTAGTAAATGTCAAGTATTTGGTCTGAGGCCGAATTTGAGCTCAGGTCCTCCAGACTTCAGGGCCGGTGCTCTATCCATTGTGTCACCTAGCTGCCCAGATTATCTGTTCTCAAGGAAAGACTTTTTTGTGGCCCTGATGATTCACCAGATGTGAGAGCTTCAACAAAAGCATTTTCTGATGTGAACCTCAAAAGCAGCCTACCTGTCCTTTGTATATACCAGGATAAAGAGAGTCCAGATTTTGGCCCTGAAATGTTGTAGCTGGGTAGGAAATGTTTGTGTTTCCATTTCTGCTATATCTTTCATGTAAATGTCTCTTTGTCAAAACCAGTTTTTAAAATGGGTTAGATGGAGCTGGATTGCTAGTCAGTGGTGGCTAACAGTGGAGGGACCACATCAGAATGGCTTAGAGGACCCCTAGAACCCTGAGGGGGAGATGCAGCTGGCCCTGTTCTGGGATAGTGAGGCTGCACTTTTGGGGAAAACTTTAAAAAAGAACGGAAAAAAGCAGTTCCACAAAACTAACGAGAAGAAGGACCATACCCGACAGCATCAGGTTTAGGGGTAGGTTACTGCCATCAGGGGACCAGGTCAACCATAGCCAGGTCTGGAAGTTAAACTTGTAAGACTGCTTGTGCTGTCTATACCCTACTTGTGGGATGGACTGGGTGAGAGGGAAGGTGGAGTGCCAATCTTGAAGCTCTATGTTATTTACTGAGGTTTTCTGTCTTGTGCAGTGTTCCTATCTTATGGATTCAAATTTAGTTATTCTGTATCTGGTTTTTCTCTCTCTCTTTATGGCAGAAGTTCTTCACTCTTTTTTTTTTTAATGCTGTGGACTCCATAAACAGTCAGGTGAAGCCTTGGAAGCTCTTCTCAGAATAATATATTGAAAGGCATAAACTAAAATACATAAGATTAGAAAGGAAACTAATTGTACTGAAATTTAGTTATCAAAATATATTTTTTTAAAAGTTCACTAATTTCAGGTAAAACCCCCTACTTTAAAGAATACTTTAATTACTCTCTATCTACTCCAATTTCCTTTTTTCTGAGGCTTACAGTTGTTGAAGACAACTCTGTGCTGTTTTAATGATCCTTGGTTCAGATAGCTGGTGGTGCCTGGAGTCAGCAAGACCTGAGTTCAAATGTAGTCTCAGTAGTCTTGTGACTCTGGGCAAGTCAGTTAATCTGTGTGTGCCTCAGTTTCTTCTACTGTAAAATGGCATAACAATAATTCCTACTTCCTGGGATGGTGCTGAGGATCTAAAGAGACAATGATTGTAAAGTGCTTAACACAGTGGCTGGCCCTTTATAAATACTTATTCCTCTTCCTTGAACCTTTTACTTTTAGGGTTAGTCATTTTTTACTTAAAGATGTCTCTAATGATGAGAAAGTCTTTCCTTGCAGGGAACAGATAAACTTTTTCTTTGCAGCTTCTACTCACTGCTCCCAGCTCTTGCCCTCTGGGCTCACAGGCCTGAATGACTACATGTTGGTTAGGTGGTAGCAGGGATTCCTTTTCAGATGCAGACAGGACTAGATGAGGCTGAAGTCCCTTCCAATTCTAAAATTCTATGACTCTGGGATGTTGTAGAGGGTACCATTTTTTAGTTATGAGTTGGGATGAGATGAGTTGGAGTCTCCCCCAACTCTATGATTCTGTGCTCCTGCTGTAACATCAGAGGAGCCTTCTAAGGAACAACTAAAGCAGAGGTGTCAGGAGGAGGGAAGCTGTGCTTTGTTCCCCCCTAGGAAAGGTAAGAATGAAGCCTCGCTTTTCAGGGTCAGGAAAACCCAAGTTCAAATCCTGCTTCAGACACTTTTGCTATGTGACCCTGAGCAAGAGGCTTTGTATTGGCTGTCACAAGGTCACTCTCTTATGACTTGAGTTTCTTCCCATAGTTTATGATTGGAGTCTCTTGCCTCTGTTCAGAATTTTGCTGCCTTTATCAAAGCAAACACCCAAACCTTTGTGAGTAAACAGCCTCCACCTCTTCAAATCCTTAATCCAGTCTTTAAGAGAAGGCAGTGACAGTGTCTTTTTCTCTGTATTTGTGTGACTCAATTATTTGGCTCATAAATTTAATGTTCAACCCCTTTTTTTGATTGACAAGAATTTATTTTCTTTCCCTTCCCTTTCTACTAACTGACAAAAAGAAAAAAAATGCATCATCAAGCCGAACAGATTCTCATATTGCTCATGTCTCAAAATGTAGCCCCTACAACATTTGTCATTTTCCTCATTTATAAACTTTGCCAATCTGATATTTGTGAGGCAGAACCTGAGAATTGCTTTAATTTGTATTTCTCTAATTATTAGTGATTTGGACCATTTTTTTCATTGGATTGTTGGTAGCTTGGATTTCATACCTTGAGAACTTTGTCAATTGGAGAATGGCTCTTACTCTTATAAATTTGAGTTAGTTTCTTATATGTCTTGGAAATGAGACTTTTATTAGGGAAACTTGGGATAGGGGACACTGAGCTCCCTAAGAGGAGTGAATTGGCACAAGGGTTAGGTCAAATTTTCTGGGCTGATTTACAGGGGGAATCAGCTTGTGAATGGCAAAATGAAGCAAAGTCTATTTGGACTGCTTTTGCTCATTAGAACTAGATTGGACTGTAAAGAGCCTTTGGTATTTGTTCACAGTAGTCTGTATGCATTTGAGAGATGGCCATATCTGATGGATTTTTAAAAGGAGAGAAATATAGTGGGATGATTAATAAACCAATCATCCACCTCACAGTTGTCGCATGAGGGAGAAGTTTACTCTAATGCCCTAATCTTGACCTCATCCTGCTACTACAATTAAATCTTCTCTACCCCAAAGATGGTGAGGAGAAGACAGAAAGTTGCCTGAGATCTCCCCAGTTTCCCTCAGAAACATTAAATCAAGCCTATAAAAGAATTCTGTAGTGACAGAATCCATGAACTGACAGAGTGAAACAATTTTCCAGCCTGAGATAACTGAGAAGGACAAGTAATAAGGGGCCATGAAGAGGGTACTATAGAGGTTACAACCTATCCCAAGCACCTAATTTCCCCACGTGAGTCTCCGCCCCTGTTTACATCTCCTACTCCCCACAATTCAGTGACCCCGGCCCATATTTACTTTTGCCCTTATTTGGGTATGCCCTCACCCCTTTTGCTTGGTATGTAGATATGTTCCTCTATACCTAACGTCAGAACCGGTTTTTGCTGGTTAGTCTATTCACCCACCCATTCTACTTCATGGCTCCCTTTGCTCAACTTCCACCTAGCCCTTAGATTATATTTTGGTGGAAATGAAAACTAGCTGTTTCTCACATTCCCTCCCGGTTTAAACTGACTCCCATGTTGTCACATAGGCGTTCACCCCCGATTGAGTGATATGCAGAAGCAACATCCCCAACCATTTTCCACAATGTGTCAAATGGAAAGAGAAGCAAAAAGGGAAACTAAAGGAGGAGATCAAAATAAGGAGGCAAGTAAAATACTGGGAGAGGAGGTAAAATTAGGGATGGATGGGCAAATGCTTAATACCTCCTGACAGATGACTTAGAACAAGCAACTTTGTTGAATTTCTTTGAATAAAGTTTAAAAAAAATAGGACTTTGATTTGGAACGGGAGAAATCTCCCATTCAAAAGGGACCAATAGTTATCAGTAATTTTTGGAAATATTTCTCCAGAACAAGCCCTGAGCTATGCCCTTAAAGATGCAAATCCAGGAGAACTCACCTGTTGTCTAAAATGGTGTGGCATTTCCCAATGCACATCTTGTAAGTACTCCCTATTTAACATATAGTTACTGATTTACTCAGTAAATAACTTGGCTTTACTTTCAGTTTCATGTCCTTCTTTCCTGAACATAAGTTTCTTTTTTTTAGAATTGAACTTATGAAGACCTGGAAATCCCCAGGGCTTAGGAACACAGAGACATTGACATAAAATATGGCAAAAAGCATTCAAATCTGATTTATATTTATCTTTTGAAGGTTTTGCATTCTACAGCTATGAGTACATTTTCCTTATTGGGAATTCACTTCAAACAAGGAAAGGCATAATTAAATGAAGCTGTCCTTTCTCCCTAACCAGATACCTCCTTCCATTGCTCTAGCTAACTTTCTTTATACCGAGCAGAGAATATGACTCTTACCAGTGCAAAGCGTCAATGTAAACAGAATTTCCCTGTGACTGCCTACAAGAGAAACCATTGGCTAGTTGCCAAAACTAATGACCCTTTTTTCTTTTTCTTTTTTTTCCTTGGTGAGGCAATCTGGGTTAAGTGACTTGTCCAGGGTCACACAGCTAATTTAGTGTCAAGTATCTGAGGTTGGATTTGAACTTAGGTCCTCCTGA